TCTTCTTTTTTTTTTCTGTCAGTCGTGGGGCTTGAACTCTGGGCTTGGGTGCACCACTTCCGGTTTTCTGAGTGGTTTATTGGAGATAAGAGTTTCATGGACTTTCTTGCCCAGGCTGGCTTTGAACCACCATCCTCAGATCTCAGCCTCCTGAGTAGCTAGGATTACAGGTGTGAGCCACTGGTGCCTGGCTATATTCATTTCTTTAAAATTTTTATTATATCCTACTCCTTAAGTCTTCATGACTGGATCCTGAGTTAACCATCTCATATATCTTTGTTGCCCAAATCCTTACCCCATTATATAATTAATATTTCCAATTCCAGTAATTCCAGTCTTCCCCCCAATCAAATTCCAATGAGAGACAATCAAGATCTCATGAATACATATATATTTATTTAATTCATAATATAGCATTTTGGATAGGCTGGGATATTTAAAGAGGGATGAGACTGTTTAATCCACAGGTGCTCATGTTTCTGTCACCAAGAGGGACACTATTGGTCCAGAGGGCCCAGTACCAACAAGCCTGGGGTAAAAGCATTTAATAAAAAATAGTTCAACAATAGTCTAATAAATATTCTAGCCAATAACAATAACACAGCATATGTCTGAAGCTGGCAGACCACACCATGAAAGACAATTTTGTCTAACCTAATGGCAGTAAGTCTGGCCAACTTGAAATACACAGCCAAACACAGCTCATTGGCTCTGAGGCTGCAATTGGCTTCAGGAGCTAGAAATACACATGGGAGTGGTTTGTATCTACCTGCCTCATTTTCCATTCCTTGGAAGAAAAGGATTCAAATATCTGTTCGAGTTTATTCAAAAGTCCATCTATGGATTGCTCCATCCAGGTAGTCATATATAAATATGTAAACCAAGGAAGCTTAGAAAATTCCCCTAAAATATTTTAGCTGAATATTTTAGTGATTTTGCCGCTATCTGAATTTCACAATGGGATTACATAATTAAAAACACAGCCAGATGCAGTTTTCTTACTTACAAGTAGCCAGAACCTCACTCAACATAGCATTACAGATTTTTTTCCATATTCTCAAAACAAGCTTACATTTTTGTGCTTTCTTCAATAAAACATATAAAAAGTGGAAACAAGCATAAATTGTAGACAGAAAATAATTTTCTAGCAGAAAGAGTTGTGGAAAAGAGTACAACAACATCAAAGGTTATGAAGGCCCCTTCCTTGAAGAGGTTAATTATAGGTCCCATTCCCTGTGTGCAGCTGAGTTCCACCAGAGGTAGTCAGTGACTCCTTTCCAGGTCCTTGGCATTGCCAGGACCGTATGAAAGTCTTCAGTTTATTGAAGTAAATCTCTGGGACTCACCACACCCCTACTAAGTACTTTGTCACTACATTCTAACTTGGAAGTCACTTCTTTAGAGTCAAATGTCATCACTTACCTCAAACCTTGTTTAACTTCCCAGTTTATTCAGGAGGCTTAACTCTGAGTTGTTTTTTCCCTACAATCAAAAATTAAATCTACCTTCAAAAACCAAGTTTGGAAAAAAAAAATGAAATGTTATTGAAAAGAATCGTGTCACTAGTTCTGATGATAATCTCCAAGGTAATTGCCAAAAAGTTTTTGAGGAGAACAATGCTCATTTACATGTATGAGCTCTGGTTCATGTGCAAAATGGTATCAATACAGACCAAATGGAGAAGTAACCAATATTTTCTGTCCAATAAGAAATATCACTATGGACATGAGAATACAAGAAAGATTGATTACTCATTTGTTCATTCATACATTCATCCAACAAACATTAGCCAGGCAACTACTCTGTTCCAGACAATATGCTAGGTATTAAAAATACAACAACAATAACAAAGGACAGTCCTTGCCCTCAACATATTCCCTGTGTAATAGGGAAGGTAATTAACATACATCAAACTTCTTTGTGCATCAGAGTAACCTGAGGAGCTTGTCAAAATTATGAGAATTTCCTCCTATGCTCCCAGATATCCAAATTAAATAGATCTAGATTGGAGTCCAATAATCAATTGTTTTAGCAAATGAATCACCAAAGGTGATTCTAACTGGTGTTCTGAGGATGGAATTTGGAAATCACTGCTATGCAGTGTGATTATTACTGAGAAAAAGCCATGCCTGGAGCACAAGGGGAGCTCCAAAGAGGGACACCTAACCCAGGCTAGAAGCCAGGAGTTGATCCGGTAGAAAAAGGCAAAGGAAGATAGAAGGTAGGACAGGTAACATGCAAAGGTAAGGTGGAGAAATTAACCTAAAAGTTAAAGTAAAATAATTCTGTTGACCCCTATTGACTATAGGAAGAGATGAATATTCACAGTAAACTAAATGCCATGTTCTGTGCTAGGCAGTTTATCCATGCATCATTTTTGTATGTATATGTGCTTAGCTTCGGGCTTGAACTTAAGGCCTGAGCACTGTCCCTTAATTTTTCACTCTACTACTTTAGCCACAGCTCCACTTCTGGCTTTTTGGTAGTTAATTGGAGATGAGAGGCTCATTGACTTTCCTGCCTGGGCTGACTTCAAAACACCATTCTCAGATCTTAGCTTTTTGAGTAGCTATGATTACTAGCTGGTGCTTGGCTGGATGATTTTAATTTCAAGGCTATGACCTTTTATTACATCAAACTATATACCAGCACTACAGAATCTTATCTGTGTCTCTCATTTCTTTTATTCTTTTTCCTTTTTTTTTGTGCCAGGCCTTGGGGCTTGAACGCAGGGCCTGGGTACTGTCCCTGAGCTTTTTTTTCTTTTTAACTCAAGGCTAGCACTCTACCTTTTGAGCCACGGCTCCACTTCCAGCTTTTTTTGAAAGTCAAGTGTAGATAAGAGTGCTCAAGATATTGTATTCATAAACTGCTTTGTTAAATGGTAACACCTCTGTACAACTACTTTTAAAAAAAGATTAAAAAAAAGGAGTCTTCAAGGCTGGCTTTGAACCTCAATCTTCAGATTTCAGCCTCCTGAGTAGGTAGGATTACAGACATGAGCTACCACTGCCCAGCTCTCATCTCTTGATTCTTTGTTAAGTACACAGTTTTTAAACCCAAAACAACTGACTGCACTACTATGTATGTTTATCTGAGCCTTTCTTTACATCTTTCTTGGGGATAGGGAGGTAGCACAATGGTTAACAACCATACCTAGTGTGCATGAGTCCATGGGTTTGAACCTCAGCACATGCAACATTTTTTTTCTCCTTTGTATGTCCATCAATGTTACTTTTCATGTTAGGTGAACAAACAATACATAACAGCTGTGGGGTAGGATTTATATACTTTTTTCTGAAAAATAGCAAGTTATTTGATAGCAAAAACTGTGCTTTATTAATATGTGCACTCACTGCAGTAGATTGCCTAGCATCTAACAGTTTATTAAACAAATTAATGGAGGAGCATTCACCAAGCTGGTGTAAAGGAAAGCGGGAGAGACTTGACATTGTAACAACCCTTCCCTGGGGGAGGGCTTGCCACACAAGTAATACTTTCACAACTTCCAAGGAGTAGATTCCTTGTAGCAGACTTAGCCCCTGGTGGGGAGGAAACTCTGGCTCTCTGAAATCTCAAATCTCTGCAATGGAACTGATAAAAGCATAGACCAGGAAGGTCAATGCCTTCTACAACCCTGATAAGGGTTATGATGCAATTTATGTCTGCATTTTCCATGAAGGAGCAAATGAATTTCACAAACAACATTGTAAAAGGAAAGAATATTTAAGCAAAATACTTAGGAAAACAGATTATATTCAGCATTCTTCAGCACTTCAGAACTGTGTTATCTGAAAGCACAAGTACATTTATATGCAAATAATTGCACCTGAAACAATCCATTATTAAAGATCAAATCAAGCAAGTTTCTAAAGAAACACCATTATGCAATTCTTTGTAGCATAATTCTAGTAACTGATGTACTTGAGATTAATAATATTATATTTCTTCAAAACATCCTGTGACAGAATTATTTGTCCCAGTACTGCAGTTTAAATTCAAGGCCTGAGCACTGTCACTCTCCCTTTTCATGCACTCTACCACTTAAGCCACAGCTTTTTGGTGGTTAATTGGAGATAAGAGTCTCATGGAGGGGCTGGGAAGGTGGCTCAGTGGTAGAGCGCTTGCCTTGCATGCATGAGGCCCTGGGTTCGATTCCTCAGTACCACATAAGCAAAAAGAAAAAAGCCGGAAGTGGCGCTGTGGTTCAAGTGGTAGAGCGCTAGCCTTGAGCTGAAGAGCTGAGGGACAGCGCCCAGGCCCAGAGTTCAGGCTCCACCACTGAAGCCCCCCCCAAAAAATTATAAAGAGTGGGGGTAGGGGGAGGATGGGAAGGGATGGGAAGGGGAAACAAAGGAGGAGGCTACAATGCTTGATAAGAAATGTACTCATTATGTTGCCCATGTAATTGTAACGCCTCTGTACTGTATTTTCACAATAAAAATTTAAATTAAAAAAAAAGAGTCTCATGGATTTTTTTCCTAACTGGGTTGGCTTCAAACTGTGATCTTCAGATCTCAGCCTCCTGAGTAGCTAGGATTAAAGGGGTGAGCCACCAGTAACCAGCTATGCCAGAATTTTTCTTAAATTTTAATTTAAAAATTTTATTATCTTTAAATAGTTGTATAAGAGGGTTTCTATTTAACATGTGCATTTGTGTGTATAATGAATCTTAATTGGAAGCATTCATTCCATCATTCTCCCTCTACCATCTATCTCATCCCCATCCATCTTCTCAAGTTTCTTAGTTCCATTTTCACATATGTACATTGGGTATTACACTGTATTTGCACACTATTCCTCTTTCCATTCATCTGCCCCCTTCTTATAGCTCCCAGACTCCCTCAGTAAAGACATGTTTTAGTTTCTTGGTATTGATTTTGCTAAACTGTTCATTGGTCAAATGTTACACCATAGAATCTCACTCCTGCATATACCATATTTTAGTCAGCTTGACCCTATGTATGCATGCATATGACTCTATATGTCTTTACATATACATTTATATTTTAGGTCTACCATCCACATATGAGAGAAAACATATTCTCTTTGTCTTTCTGAGCCTGACTTATTTCACTCAACATTTCTTTTTCCAGGACAATACATGTTCCTGCAAATGATGTAATTTCATTCTTCCTGATGGATGACTAGCATTCTATTGTGTGTGTATTTGTGTGTATCTATATGAATAGATACATATATATAAATATACATTTATCATATTTTCTTGGTCCATTCATTAGTTGTAGTGAATCTGGGCTAGTTCCCTAACTTGGCTATTGTGAATAGTGCAGCAAAGAGCAAGGGTGTGAAGGTGTGTGACAGAATTTTAAACAGATTGATGCACTCCTTGCCCTTAAATAGCATTAAGCAGCCTCAGTGAAATTGCTACACTTCTACTTGGAGCAAATTTCTATCTACCAATAGTATTCCATATGCAACTTCTTCCCAATTCTCTCTTAATCTAACCAAGAGCTCTTCTCACTGTTCATGTCCTGTTTATGTCTTGACAAGAGATAGAAAAGAAGGGATGGATGGGGGGGGGAATATTTGTTTTGATATTTCTTTTAGGAGATCAAAATGAATGGTGTAATTTCTACCCAAATGAACAAATCAAGAAATTTATTGTGCATATATATTATATAAATGACAGATTTATATATTATATATGCACAAGAATGATTTTCTTACAACAACTCCTTGCTTGTACGTTTTTTCATTAAAAGTGCAATACAATATGCAAAATAATTTGATAAAATTTAAAATTCTATGTGGCCTCATAGGCCAGTACTAGAAAGGCTGACCACCATCCCCACTTTTGGCTAGCTAGCTCCTTGTTCAGAGTATCTTTCTATATTATTTACCTAGAGTTATTCTAATTCCTTCTAATATTTTTTGCACTCTGAAATCATTGGGAATTTCTAATTCTCCAGTGACAATGGAGACATTGTCTAAGTTTCTTCTCCAGTGCCTGAAACCCAGACTACTCAGATAAATTTGCTCTGAGAAACTCCATATATTAATTCAAATACAAGCTTTTGTGCACAAAAATTAAATCTACAATAACTAGCTCTTTTGGATGCTTCAAATAAACTTTACTTTTTGTCTCATATTATTGAGCACTAACCAAAGTTTAAGAGGGAAAGGACTGCTGAACTGGAGAGCCAGTGAATTCTCTGCTCTCTTGAAACTTAGTGACAAGCTTTCATCCCAGACACATAGGGAGATTCTTGAGGCCTGCAGTTGCACTCCTGACGCTCTGGAAAATCAATAAAATCGGGGGCAGGCAAGCCAGAAAGGATCATTAGGGATTTGTTCCAGATTGTGAATGTTGGACAAACTGGAAGGATAAAGGTCACATCAAAGGTATGAAGATGAAGAGAGTTAGCTGGGTCATAGAAAGACAGCATGTTGTTGTCATAATCCAGGAGGACACCGAGGCGCTTAAGCTGTGGGGGCACATCCACCAGCATTTCCTTATTGTTGTGTCTCACCACGAAGTTACTATTACATCGAGAAAAGACCCAGGAGGATGCATTCTTGCCAATCCATTCATTCTTTGGAGCTGACTTATAGGCAATACCAATTGCATACCTGTGAGAAGTGGGAAGGACAGAGACATAAACATTTATAAATAATCTGTATTGTGCTAAACATCATAGAGGATATATGAGAAATGTAACACATGCTTCTTCCTAAAGTAGTTCATACATATCTTTTTTTTATTTTTTTGTCGGCCATGGGGATTGAACTCTGGGCCTGGGCACTGTCCCTCAGGTCTTCAGTTCAAGATTAGCACTCTACCACTTGAGCTACAGTGCCACGTCCAGCTTTTTTCTGTTTATGTGGTGCTGAGGAATTGAACCCAGGGCCTCATGCATGTGAGGCAAGCACTCTACCACTGAGCTACCTTCCCAGCTCCAGTTCACACATATATTATATTGCTATAACTCTTCTCTCTTCTTCTATCCTTTCCTGTTTTTTTTTTTTTTTGGCAGTACTGGAGTTGAAACTCAGGGCCTCACACTTGCTACCCAGGGAGATGTGATACCAGTCTCTCTCTCTCTCTCTCTCTCTCTCTCTCTCTCTCTCTCTCTCTCTCTCTTTCTCTCTCTCTTTCTCTCTCACATTACTACTACTACTACTACTACTACTACTACTACTACTACTACTATGTCCAGTTTCCTTCCATGGAAATAGAATCTCACAGATATGTGCCCTGTCCTGGAATTGTGATCTTCCCAATCTCAGCCTCCCAATCAGTTTAGAATTATAGGGGCATATTACTGTTCCCAGCTTTGGCTTAAGAAGGAATCTTGCCAACTTTTACTGTCCAGGAGTGTCTTGAACTGCAATCTTCCCATGCTCAGCATCACAGATAGCTAGTATTACAGGTGTGAGCCATGGGAATCCAGCCTATCTTTATTTTATTAAAAAGCTGGGTGGCTCATGCTTATAATCCTAGCTACTCAGGAGGCTGACATCTTAGGATCCAGGTTCAAATCCAGTCCCTGACAGGAAAGTCCATGACATTCTTATCTCCAATTAACCACCAGAAAACCAAAAGTGGCACTATGGCTCAAGTGATAGAGCACTCACCTTGAACTGAAGAGCTCAGGGACAGTGCTCAGGCCCAGGTTCAAGCCCCATGACGGACAAAAAAATAAAAAAGCTGACAAATTCCTTCCCTTCTTCTTTTTGGTGGAATAGGACTGGGACTTGAACTAAAGGCCTTGCTCTTGCTAGGCAGATGTTATACCACTTGAGCTACACCTTCAGCCCTTTTTGCTTTGGTTACTTTTCACATAAGGGTCTTATTTTAGCCTGAGCTAACCTCAGTTTCAATTGTCCTGGGCCAGCTTCAGACCACAATCCTCCTATCCCATAACTAGAATTACAAGTGTGAACTGCTGTAACTGCCTTGTTATTGATATAAAGTCTCACTAACATTTTTCCCAGGTTGCCTTCAAACTATGATCCTCCTAATCCCTATCTAGTAGCTACTGTTACAGGTATGAACCACAATGCTTAGCAGGCAAATTTTTCCAGACTGTTTTTCATCATACACACTTTAACTTTGACTTATGTTGGTGTTAGGGTTGTAATATAGAATCCAATCGCTGGAGAAACTAACAACAGAGAAGATAGAAGAAAAGAAAACTGAAATCCACTTACCATGTTGAGGAACCCATGACCACCTCCCAGTAGTGGCAGCCACTGTCAATGAATATATTTCCTGCTGCCCCATAGCACCCTGTGCCACTAAACCTCTCTGGGGTATGGCTTTTCTTCAGAGAGCTTTCATCCTTCTCCATCTGCAGTCCATCATTGGAGATCTTCAACTTCTTGTGAGTCATTTTGGGATCCAATTTAAAGGGCTGGCCTGAGGAAGGTAGAAAAAGGAGGAAATTTGATGATGCACTGAAGAAATGGAATTTTATCCTCCAGAAACAGCAGTAGCGGGGACCCTCAAGAGGAAAAATCACTTTGGAATCAGAGAAAGCTGGCTTCTGTTTAGATTATACAAAAGAAAAAGGCCAGGAGACATAGTGTGTAAGAATGTAAGGACAGAACTCATTCACCAATAACATAACCTCCATGGAATATTTCTTTTCTCACTATGGGAAAAAGGTAGGTTGCATACAAGAGTTGCCCTCTACCATATTTTATTAAACTAAATGAGATCTATCATGTTCTCAAATATGATTTGTATTTTATTCCATTAGGTGCTTTTTGAGATTGAGTAGATTTTTGGGGTGCTTTTTATTAGAATCAATTAGTTGTATGAGAGAGGGTTTCATTTTGACATCTATATATGCATATAATGTACCTTGATTATACTTGCCTCCTTCATCATTCTCCCTCATCCCTGCTCCTTTGAGTAGATTCTAAGGAGTGTTAGAATGCTTGAAGTGGGAGAAAGTGAGAGTCACTGTTGAAGTTATCACTACTTGGTGGTAGAGCAAAAAAACTTGAGGAATCAAGTAACAGGGACTTTTTTGCCTTCTTAAAACTGGCATACAAAGCCTGGCACCAGTGGCTCATGCCTGTAATCCTAGCTACTCAGGAGGCTGAGGTCTGAGGATCACAGTTCAAAGCCAGCCTGGACAGGAAAGCCCATGAGACTCTTATCTCCAATAAACCACCAGAAAACTGGAAGTGGCGCTGTAGCTCAAGTGGTAGAGCACTAGCCTTGAGCTGAAGAGCTGAGGGACAGTGCCCAGGCCCAGAGTTCAAGCCCCATGACTGACCAAAAAAAAAAAAAAATTGGAATACAAACAATATACAATTAGGCAAGCTTATAGCAGTGACTATTGTATCATCAATGTAGGCTCATTCACAATAAAGAGACTTATACAATCAAGTATTGTTCCCTGATGGGCACCGGTGGCTCAAACCTGTTCATAGTTCAAAGCCAACCAAAGCAGGAAAGTCTGTGAAACTTCTATCTCAAATTAATAAGCAAAGAGCCAGAAAAGAAGCTGTGGTTCAAATGGTGGAGCACCAGTCTTGCATTCACAAAACAGCTCAGGCCCAATGCCTAGGCCCTAATTTCAAGCCCCAGTACTGGCATGCAAAAAAGTATTCCCTTAGGTCAGATGTTGGAGAAAGCAAGATTTGCATATTAAAGTAAATGCTTCTGTGACAAGCATTATTGGCTAACCTAATGTCTTTCTATAATTTATCTCTCTCATTCAATTTCTTACCCTCCCTTCTTTATAGGGTAAGCTAATAAAATAAAATCAGAAATCAGAGTAGCAGAAATCTATGGAAAGTTTCTGTTTTTCTGATAAAAGGAATACCAACTGTGTCTTCCTTCATATCTTAAAAAGCAACGTGACATGTGGAGGTTATAGTGGCTATCTCGTGGCCATGTGGCAACAAGCAATGCACAAAGGGAGATGGAAATTGTCTCTTTTCTGCCACCACAAAGCTGCTTCACCAGTCCTCACTGCCTGCCTTCAAACTTCCTTCTACATGAGACCAAGAAGAAAAGCCACTATTCCTTTAGTGACTAGTAAGTATCATTTGTGAAGTTATGTTAGTGATACTTTCTGTGGTTGACTGTTGCTAGATTATCACAAATAATGTTCTTTCATTCAATTGTCTGCCAAACTTGGTGGTAAAAATCAGAGAAAGCCTCATCACTAATATCCTCCCATGCTATTCTGGGTTTTAGTATTGTACATACAACCCGCACCCCCCACCCATGGACACCAACAAACCCCCCAGCTAAAGTACAAACCACAGCAGCAATTCTCCTCTGCCCAGTGCCACTGCCATCATGCACTGATGGGGTGCCATCTCAGGCTAAGGACCTCCCTGGTATGGAGCTGAAAGTGGGTCTTTCTTGCTGGAATCACCACCACCTACTGTTTGTTTTTAGTCGGGTGGGTTCACTGTTCCGGCTGCCTGCTTGGTTTATGGCTTTAACAATGAAGATGTAGCGTGTCCCACTCTGGAGTCCATGTACTGTGTAATGGTTCTGTTTAATGTTGGGCACAATCATCCAGCTATCCACTGAATTATACAGGCCTGTAAAGTAGGCAAAGACAAGGATATCAATCAACAAAAAGAAACTGAAGAAAAACACACTAAAAATGCAATCACAGGCTTCCCTCCCAAAGCACATTTATTTTGCTTTGTTTTGAGTCTGAGAAGTTATAATGAAATGAACCAGAGATTGTGAATCCACTATTTATTTTGTCCCACAGAGCCAGGCTTTTGTCTGTCTTCTTGCTTCTAGCAAGTGAATGCAAATACTAGCAAAAGTTACATCATATCATCTTTGTGCCATATAATAAAGAAATAGCCACTACATCAAATCATAGAATCACCACTCTTTTTTTTTTCTTTTTTTGCTTATGTGGTGCTGAGGAATCGAACCCAGGGCCTCATGCATGCAACGCAAGCGCTCTACCACTGAGCCAACTTCCCAGCCCAGAATCATCACTCTTATGGAGTCTTTGCATCATTACTCCAATGTCTACTCCTCTGAGAGCCAAATCTGGCCTTGTATGAGTGGAGCAGTCCTGTACAGAGCATGGAAAAATGGAAATTCAGAGCAGAAAGGATACCTACATATCAAATATCTCTCATCTTACAAGAGAGAACACTGGTATCTTTTAATCCTAGGCCAGTATTCTCTGCATGGCATCACAATTCATGGGGTGATTAGAAATGTTCCTTTGTCTCTATATAAGGTAATGAGGACTTAAAATTCTACTCCTCTACCTCAGTGTCATCCTGAATTCACAAATGTTCTGGAATCTAAGTGAAGTAAAAGAGATGGCATAATGTTGCACATTTTTACCCCTTCCTAGCTCTGATTCCCATTCCCCTCTGGAGTCAGGTGGTTCAGTAACACATTGTCAACTTGAACAATTTTCCCTCTCAAGCAGGGAAAGGGATCAGATGTCTAGGCTTCTGTTTTAGATTGCAAACATTGGCTTAAAACAGGAGAAGATATACATAACCAAAAACATATATTTGGGCAGTTTTCAGTAAAAGAGAAATCAACATATTATACTGGATTATCTAGACAAATCTCTTGTTATTTGGAGTTTTTTCCCCATACTTCTTCTGGAGGGTGGAAAGGGAAAGGCAAAAAAAAAAATGAGCAGTGGATTTTGTCACTTCCATGCATCTCTAATAGAAGACTAAGTGAAGGTGAAAATTAAAAATAATGATGAGTGTTTTTCAAGAGATCTAATCTGAAGGGTTTAGTGATTAATTTGAATGAGGTGGAATAAAAACCTAAATGAAAACTAGAAAAAAGACCATAATGGGTGGGGTGTTATAGAAAGAATAAGAAACAGTGGATATCTCAATGATTTTTTTGACAAAGTAAGGATAAGGGCTAGGAACAGTGTTTGAGATATTACCTATCTATGTATCTATATACAGTATAAATCACAAATTACACATGAAATTTTAATACAAAGGGGGAAGTGCATGGTCTTCAAAATGTCCTTCAAACAATATAAAGACAAATAAATACAAATGAAGTTCACAATGAAGTAACTATGCAATATGAGAAAAGAGGAGAACAATCTCTATCAGCTAATATGGAATGATTTCCAAGAGATAATAGTTGAAAAAAAGCTAATTGCATGACAGCATATACCAAATGCTATTATTTTGAGAGAAAGAAAATGCAAAGTAAACTGTATTTGCTTAGATTAACAAAACAAAGAAAGGCTAACCCAGAAAAGAAAGAGGTTTGTTACCTACAAGGGATTAGAATGGACATAAAGGATTAAAAGCATTGGGAGATGTCTGGGAATATGGGTTAGTGGTAGAGTGCTTGCCTAGCATGCATAAAGCCCTGTGTTCAATTCCTCAATATCACATACACAGAAAAAGCTGGAAAGGGTGCTGTGGCTCAAGTGGTAGAGTGCTAGCCTTGAGCAAAAAGAAGTTCAGGGACAGTGCCCAGGCCCTAAGTTCAAGCCTCAGACTGGCCAAAAAAAAAAAACATTTGGGAGAACTGGGGCACAGCTCGGGGGGCAGAGCACTTGTCTTACTACCTACACTTCAAAAACAAAACAAAAGAACAAAAAGATATGGGAGGGAAGGATGCTTTCTTTAGTATACTTTTTGCAAACTTTTCCCTTTAGGAACCATGCTATATCCTAAAATTAAACTTAAGCCAGGAATGTCACACACACACACACACACACACACACACACACACACACACGTATGTAATCCTGATCACACAGGAAGCAGAGGCAAGAGGATCTTGAGTTCTAGGTCAGCCTAGATAAAATCATTGAGACCTTATCCTAGAAACAAAACATAAATAAAAATGCTGGGTATAGCTCAAGAGCTTACCTAACATAAAAAATTAAATAAAAAAAGAAACGAAATCAACATATTCAAAATTCAAATTTAAAAAAAATAAAATGAAGTAAACAAAGATCTGAAGGTTTGAGTCTCTAATATTTTCCTACTAAAGAAAATGTCAGGGGTTGGGAAGGTGGCTCAGTGGTAGAGCGCTTGCCTTGCATGCCTGAGGTCCTGGGTTCGATTCCTCAGTATCACATAAGAAAAAAGAAAAAAGCCGGAAGTGGCGCTGTGGCTTAAGTGGTAGAGCGCTAGCCTTGAGCTGAAGAGCTGAGGGATAGCGCCCAGGCCCAGAGTTCAGGCCCTGCGACCTGACCCCCCCCCCCCAAAAAAAGAAAATGTCAGAGCCAGGCGAGGGGGTTCAAGCCTGTAATCCTAGCTACTCAGGAGGCTGAGATCTGAGGATCTCAGTTCAAAGCCAGCCTGGGCAAGAAAGTCCGTGAAACTCTTATCTCCAATAAAAACCACCAGAAAACCGGAAGTGGAGCTGTAGCTCAAGTGGTAGAAGCCCTAGTCTTGAGCTGAAGAGCTGAGGGACAGGGCTCAGGCCCAGAGTTCAAGCCCCACAACTGACAAAAAAAAAAAAAAAGAAAAGAAATGAAAAATGTCAGATTCCAGGTTAGGACAGGATAAGGTCAAAATGAGCCTAGTACATTTTGTTATGCTAGAAAGTGAGTGCTCATGATGATGAGAGCTATTTTGAAAGACTCCCACCGACTAAATCGGGATGGTTTATGCACAAAAATGAATAAAGGCAGTAAAGAATTATAAACCATTGATAAAAGGGAATTGGAGAATTCATACTGATAAAACAAATAGAAAACAAGGAGCAGGTTCTTCCTTACAGTAGAATGTTTACTGTCAACATATAAATGTGAAAGGGAGTACTCAGGTAGACAACCACTTTATAATCAGAGTGAAGACTGGTAGGATAAGAACATCAGTAATGCTAAAACAGAGGTAGGGATGGGGTGAGATAGGTTTAATGAGGAAGCAGGATATTTTCATGACCTTAAAGGATCACCAAACATATTGTTTATTAGTAGCAAAAGAAAAATAGGAAATACACTATGAAGAAATCAGACAATATTTTGACAAGGTGATCAAAATTAGCACTAACAATGAAGGACAAGTGGACATCATGTAACTACAGATATGACACACTATGGACAAATTGATCTGAGTCTTCAAAAATCTTTATCGTCAGTAAAAGTTTGCTTCAGGTCTTTGTTTTTTGTGTGCATGCATGTATGTGTGTGCGTGCGTGCATGTGTGTGTGTGTGTGTGTGTGTGTTTGTGTGTTTGTACTGGGGCTGGAGTTCAGGACCAGGTTGCTGTTTCTTAGTTTTTTTCACTTTAGGCTAGTGCTCTACCACTAGAGCCACAGTTCTGCTCCCAACCTTCTGTTAGTTAATTGGAGATAAAGGTCTCATTGTCCTTTCTGTCCAGGCTGGCTTCAAATGAGTATCCTAAGATTCCCAGCCTGCTGAGTAGTTAGGATTACAGGTGTGGGCCACCAGTGCTCAGCTCAGGGCTCTGTTTTTGTTCCCGTCCTATTGGACTTTCCTAATAATGACTGGAAGACAACATAGAAGTCAGGCTGGAAGGGAAAACAAATGTTCTGGAAGGTAAAATCTGGATCCCAAAGACTCATTGCATGCTAGAAAAAGGGGTCCAGAGCTAATCCAGTAAAATGTACTGAGTATAAATTCAAGGTGCAGTTCAAATTTAGATACTCAATTTTATAGAAAGTGCAGCTGGAATACATGGGATGTCAGCTGACTTTATGTTAAGTAAACAGTAGTCAGTGTGGCTGGCCCAGTAAAAAGATGTAGGGCAAAGCCTGGCACCGGTGGCTCACGCCTGTAATCGTAGCTACTCAGGAGGCTGAGATCTGAGAATCACTGTTCAAAGCATGGGCAGGAAAGTCCTTGACTCTTATCTCCAATTAACCACCTGAAAACCAGAAGTGGTGCTGTGGCTCAAGTGGTAGAGTGCTAGCCTTGAGCTGAAGAGCTCAACGAAGTGCCCAGGCCCAGAGTTCAAGCCCCACGACCAAAAAAAAAAAAAAAAAAAAAAGATGTAGGGCAAGAAGGCAGCAACTTGTGTACAAAAGAAATAATCCAGCTACCTCTGTAGCACTCAGACCACTTTTGGGTGTTTTCACTGTTTTGTTTTCTTTTGTTTTGTTTTTTGGTCGGTCATGGGGCTTGAACTCAGGGTCTGGGTGCTGACCCTGAGCTTGGATAGCACTCTCCCACCTTGAGCCAAAGTTTCACTTGCATTTTTTTGTTGCTAGTCTTGGGGCTTTAACTCTGGACCTGGGCACTGTCCCTGAGCTCTTCAGCTCAAGACAAGTGCTCTATCACTGGAGCCACAGAGCCACTTCCGGTTTTCTGGTGGTTAATTGGAGATAAAAGTATCACAGACTTTCCTCCCTGGAGCTGGCTTTAAACCATGATCCTCAGATCTCAGCCTCCTGAGTAGCTAGGATTACAGGTGTGAGCCACCAGCACCCAGCTTTATTCACTTTTTTTTAAATTACACTTTAGGAAGCATTTTGGCAAATAGAAATGTGTCCATAAAAAGGATATCAGATGGTTAAAAAAAAAACACCTATCTGAAAACTGTATTGTATGAAGACCAGTTAAAATAATGAGATGTCTGGCAAGAAAAAAGAAAATTTAGAAGGAACAGAGGAATTATCTAAACTATCTAGAATACTATCATGTGAAAGGTGGATTAATGAAGCAAAGAAAGCCAGACCTAGAAATAACTAGTAGCTGGCACATTAAGCTTGAAGTCTGATGGGCTAGGGATTCTAATCTCCATCATTTTGTAGCTCTGTGACCCTGGGCAACTCACTAAACTTGAAATTCAGCGTCTTCATTTATAAGATAGAATAAATATCATCTATGTCATAAATCTCAGCAAGTATTTGTGAGGTCTAAATGAAATAATGTTTATAAATGGTGATACATTACCATATTTGAATTATTGGTAGTATTTACTAAGAGAAAGAAGCCTCTTATAATGAAGCACTGGCAATTATTAGTAGTATATAATCACCAATGGGCTGCTTTATTAATTAATTAATTTTTTTGTCAGTCATGACGCTGGAACTCTGTGCCTGGGCACTGTCCCTCAGCTCTTCGCTCAAGAGCTAGTGCTCTACCACTTGAGCCACAGCGCCAATTCTGGCTTTTTCTGTTTATGTAGTGCTGAGGAATTAAACCCAGGGCCTCATGCATGCGAGGCAAGCACTCTACCACTAAGCCACCTTCCCAACCCCTGGGCTGCTTTATTAAAACTGAGCATCACATCACTGGCAATGTTCAAGCAGAGACAAGGCCATCATTTACTGAATGTCTGGCAGAAGAGATTACACTAGATGATTCCTATGGTCCAGTCCAACTCTAAGATGCTAAGATTTTTATCACTATTAGTCACACTTTGGGATTTTCTTTTTTTTTTTTGGTCAATCATGGGGCTTGAACTCTGGGCCTGGGCGCTGTCCCTCAGCTCTTCAGCTCAAGGCTAGCACTCTACCACTTGAGCCACAGCGCCACTTCCGGCTTTTTTTCTTTTTGCTTATGTGGTACTGAGGAATCGAACCCAGGGCCTCATGCATGCAAGACAAGTGCTCTACCACTGAGCCACCTTCCTAGCCCTTTGGGATTTTCTTTACATTATGACTATATAGCTTTGAAAACTGAAGTGACAACCTTTTGATCTTTGTCACTTCTCAGACTTGTTCTCAGTTGCTAAGACACAACTGCCTTCCTCACAACAGGAAGAAGCACAGATGCTGGCTCTAGGACTTGCCAGAACTTACACTGAAAAGTATGTGAATGAGGCTATCGAGGTTGTGACTTTTTGCTTGGAAAAAAAAAAAACCACTCAGGAACACTGCTACATAGGCCAAGTGGCTTAGGTTGGAGCTGCAAGAGGCAAGTGTTTTTTTAATGCTTGACTTTTCAATATCTTCTCATCTCCCCTCCCTATTATTGTCACAAACCAGAATTCTTCCCTTGTTATCATAAAAAAGGAAAGTTTATAAGGAGGATTTAGTTGGGAAACTGTTTTTCATGTTAACCTGTGAAGTCGGACATAAATGCAAAGTGCAAAGGTAAAAGAGTATTAATTTGCACCTATGCAGATATAACTATAAGGTAGGAATCAGTCTCAATCTTGAACTCAGCTTGTGTCCTGAGGCATGAACTTAGGGCTTGGGTGCTGTCCTTGAGCTTTTTTTGCTCAAGGATAGTGTTCTGACACTGGAGCCACACCTCGACTTTCAGGTTTTTGGTGGTTAATTGGAGATAAGAGTCTCATGGACTTTCCTGCCTGGGCTGGCTTTGAACTGTGATCCCCAGATGTCAGCCTTCTGAGTAGCTAGGATTATAGGTATCAGCCAGTTGCACATGGTTATTGAATTTAGCCTTAATTATGATTGCATCCCCACTGCTTTGAAGGGAACTTTCACTGCTTTTCAACTGATGATCAACAAGTTAAATTTCTACTCTGCCTTTTCCTGCTCCATTTCACAGGAAGTTAAAGTCTTCTTAACACGTGAGCTAAACAACTGCTTTTCTAAACATCTTTCATTTGGTGGCTTGTCAATATTTTTTGAATTTGGTGTTTTTATTGTTATGTTGTTTTTTTGAGACAAGGTCTTGCTATGTAGCCCAGACTGGCCTTGAACTTGTGATCCACCTGACTCAGCCTTCCAAGTGCTGGGATTTTAGGTATGCACCACTAGGCCTGGCTCTAACACATTTTTTTCATTTACTATAGTTCTTTGTGGAAAGAGGGAAGAAGTAAAGAGAAGAGTGACAGAGGCAGAAGGCTTGTCACCATATTCATTGATGCAAATAGGAATGGTAAAGGAAGAAATACTCTTGGAATGTAATATATCATGATAATGAAGTGAAGGAAGAGTCAGGGAGCAAGATGTTCACACACATGGGGCGAGAAATGATGGTGGCTTAGCTATCTAGGAACAAATACTGAGCAGTGCTCTCCTTGGGACAGTGGAGTGACAAACAAATGGGAATGACCTCAGGGAATGACCTGTCCAGCAGGGAAATGCACAAGTTGCTTGTCACCCAGCAGGAAGAGCTTCACAATGCCCCGGGGAGCTTACACTGTCTATGAAAGACTATACTAAACAACCTAACATGTCTTACAAACACTTGCCTCGTGGCGCCCCGGCCAATCTTGAGCAGCTTACTGCTTCCTTACATTTCCTTATCTCTGGCCACAGGCCCCAACTACACCATGACTTACTGATGAAGTTAGCCTGGCCAGTGAATATGGTGTACTGAAGCTCATAGGAGCTGATGCTGAACTCATCATCCGAGATCCAGTGGACTGTAATGGTGTCATGGGAGGCTGTACAGAGTTCCTCTCGGATAGATGGTGGGTTTGGGGCTGTAAGAAAAAGTAGGGGGAAAAGAAAGGTAAGAAACACTCACTGTTTGGAATTTTACAATCCTTATTCTTCCTGTCTAACTCAACATCTCTAGGAAAGGAAGAGTCATTTGTTTGTTTCTTTATTTTACTCAATACTGGGGTTTAAACACAGAATGTCACACATACTTGACAAGCATTCTATTAAGATATATTTCCAGTTCTGGAAAAGTCTTAGGGGAGAAATTTTAGATTGCAAGACACATGCAACCTGAAACACAACCACTTGTTTCAACAATGAAGATATTTTAGGCTTAGCTATTGTGATGAGTTCTCCCATTGTCCAATTGGCCCTATATAAACACATATGTATACTTTATAGCTAAATAGCTACATATTTTACTTATATATCATGGACTTCAATCTACTTCATTCTATTTCTTTGTCAGTTATAGGGCTTGAAATCAGGGCCTGGGTGCTGCCCCTGACTCTTTTGCTCAAGGCCAATGCTCTATCAATTTGACCCACAGCTCCACTTCCCATTTTCTGGTGGTCATTTGGATATAGGCATCTCAAGGACTTTGGTGCCTGGTCTGGCTTTGAACTGTGATCCTCAGATCTCAACCTCCTGAGTAGATATTATTATAAACATGAGCCACCACCAGAACCTAGCTACTTTATTCTATTTCAAAATAACTTTTATTATATATATTTGACAATAAAGTTCAAATTAATACTAGTTCTCCCATCTGTAAAATGGGAATGATAATTACTGTATTAATTTGCTCTGAGGATTAATGATATAAAATTCATGTAAAGTATCTGGCATAAATAAATGATAGTTATGCTAAGATATTAACAAAATAGCTACAAGCATAAAGTTATATTTATACATGTACTTTTCTCATAAAATAATCATTCAATAATCTTTAAGGTTGCTAGCAATTATTTTATTTTATTTTCATTTTTATTTTTTTGTCAGTTGTGAGGTTTGAACTCTGGCCCTGAGTGCTGTCCCTCAGTTCTTCAGCTCAAGATGAACACTCTACCACTTGAGCTACAGCACCACTTCCGGTTTTCTGGTGGTTTTTATTGGAGATAAAAGTTTCACAGACTTTCCTGCCCCAGCTGGCTTTGAACCATGATCCTCAGATCTCAGCCTCCTGAGTAGCTAGGATTACAGGCATGAGCCACAGGCACCTGGCTAGTAGTCAACAATTTTAACAGTCTGGTTGCATCTTGTATTTTATTTTTTTTGGTAGAAATTTATTTATTTATTTTTATTTTTGTCAGTCCCAGGGCTTGAACGCTTGGCTTGGGCACTATCCTTGAGCTCCTCTTTACTCAAGGCTAGTACTCTACCGTTTGGGCTACAGTGCCACTTCTGTTTTTTCTATGATTAATTGGAGGTAAGAGTCTCACAGGCTTTCTTGGGCTGGCTTCAAACTATGATCTTCAGATCTGAACGTGAGCCACTGGCATACAGACTTTTGTAGAAATTTATTAGGCTTTATTTTAGACATTTTAACAATTGTACACTCACTCTTGATTTTGTTGTTGTTGTTGTTGGTGGTGGTGGTGGTGGTTGTGAGGCTTGAACTCTGGGCATGGACACTGTCCCTCAGCTCTTCAGCTCAAGGTAAGTGCTCTACCACTTGAGCCACAGCACCACTTCCAGTTTTCTGGTGGTTAATTGGAGATAAGTGTCTCATGGACATTCCTGCCTGGGCTGGCTTTGAACCGTGATCCTCAGATCTCAGCCTCCTGAGAAGTTAGGATTACAGGCGTGAGCCACCAGCACCAAGCTTGATAGCTGTTTGTAAGCACCTTTTCAAATATTTTTAGGTTAAATATTATTACTGATAAGTCTTTGTTGAGAGCATCCTTTGGAAAGGTGTTTTGGCTCAAAAGAAAATCACCTGCAGCCAGGCTCTGGTGCTGGTGGCTCACACCTGTAATCCCAGCTACTCAGGAGGCTGAGATCTGAGGATCATGGTTTGAAGCCAGCCCAGGCAAGAAAGTGTGTAAGACTCTTATCTCCATTTATTCACCCCCAAAACCCAAAGTGGAGCTGTGGCTCAAAGTGGTAGAGTGCTAACCTTGAGCACAAAAGCTCAGGGACAGTGCTCAGGCCTTGAGTTCAAGCCCCACCACCGACAAAACAAACAAAAAAACAAAATAACTGCCATAATGGTCACTTCCAATGCAGGCCCATGGGGAGTACTTCAGTTAAACAGAAGATTGAATTTTTTCTCCCTTTTGTTTTCATGCTAATCAACAAACCAACAAATTGGACTAATGTCTTCCTCCTTAATATTGTGCATAATTTGACTATACCATGATTAGCACAAACATGAGGAAACTGTTGTGATTGGTGAATATACCCTTATCCTCTCTGGCATCTGTTTCTTACAAGCAGTCTGTCTTGAAAACTAATGCTGAGTGCTAATATCTCTGACACTTCATATGAAACTTTAGAAGCATTAAATATTTGATGGAATCATCTTTCTTTTCTATTACAATGGGGGTGAACTAAAAGACATTTTACCTAAAGATACATCTATCACATCTAAGTTTAGAAAAAATCATTTTAAATACTGTCCCTTTCAGATTACATTCAACTTTAAATTCACCCAAATAAAAAAAATTAAACAAGCAGGAAAGTGCAATATTTTCACACCTGTTAAGTAGTCTAGCCCCTCCAACAGTTTCTTTTCTCTAGAAAAATCTAAAGCAAAGTTTTCAAAGGCATCATTAAAATTGATGTCTGGAATCAGAACTTGAGAAGATGCAGTTGCCATAGCGACCCTGAAAAAAAAAAAAGTACATCAATATACATCAAAATAAGCTTGCAATCTCATCCAGTGTTTGATTTCTGGCTTAACAACAGGAAAACAAATGACTTGCAAGGGAAAATATCATATCCGTTCTTTTCCAATGAAAATCATTTCAATTTTAATTGTCAGGAACCAATTAAGTGTTATACCATATTTGCTCACATATGTTCACCCCTCAAACACACTCTCCCATCCTGTCTTAATTTTGAGAAGTAAATACAGGATTTTTTCCCCTCTGCATCATTTTCCATCTGGCAGGCAGCCTCAAAACTAGACCTCTGAAGGCTTGGTAAGAGCAATTTAAGAATTTATCCCCTTTTTTTTCCATGCTAATCAACAAACCCACAAGCTGGGTTAACGTTTTCTTATTACTGCCCATTATTATTAATTTTTGGACCCAGTCCTAGGACTTGAACTCAGGGCTTGTCCCTGAGTTTTTTTTGCTCCAGGCTAGCACTCTATCACTTGAGCCACAGTTCCACTTCTGGCTTCTTGGTGGTTAATTGGAGATAAAAGTCTCACAAATCTTCCTGCCTGGTCTGGCTTTGAACTAAAATCCTCAGATCTCAGTGAGTAGCTAGGATTACAGGCATGAGCCATCAGGCACTCAGGTATATCTGGTCTTTTATAATACTTACATTTCATTTTTTTATTCTCTAATTGAATAATCCTATGATAATTTTAACTCCTTAATTATGTTTAAAGGACTCAAGAATGAGGTTCAGCCGGGGGCCAGTGGCTCATGCCTGTAATCCTAGCTACTCAGGAGGCTGAGATCTGAGGATCTCAGTTTAAAGCCAACCCGGACAGGAAGTCCATGAAACTCTTATCTCCAATAAACCACTAGAAAACCAGAAGTGGCACTATGGCTCAAGCAGTAGAGTGCTCATCTTGAGCTGAAGAGCTGAGGGACAGTGCCCAAGCTAAGAGTTCAAGCCCCACAACCAACAAAAAAAAAAAAAAAAAAAATGAGGTTCATGTTTTGTACCTCTTGTATTTTGTGTGGTTCCTAAAACAATGAAAGACATATAATAAATAATAAATAGCAATTGTTAACATTTGTTGAGTGATTAGTTGATACAAGGCATTGTGCATGCAACTTATGCAAATTATCTAATTTATTCATAATCATAACTTTGTTAGATGTTATTTACATTTTGTAAGTAAAAACGTAAAGAAGTAAATTTCCCAATATCATACAACTAGTAAAAAGCAAGATATAATTGAATCCATGAACATCTGATTGTAATCTGTACCTATATCCATTTATAGTTTCTTCTCTCTTTTAATTAAAAAATATACTTTTTATATATTTCAGCAATTCTTTTTTCCCCCTCTTCCTGGGGCTTGATCTCTGTGCCTGGGCACTGTCCCAGGGCGTCTTTTATTCAATGAGTGCACTCTACCACTTACGCCACAGCTCCATTTCTAGGGTTTTTTTTTTTAAAGTAGTTTATTCAAGATAAGAGTCTGAGGAAATTTCCTGCCTGGGATGACTGTGAACCATGATCCTCAGATCTCAGCCTGAGTATCTAGGATTACAGGTGTGAGCCCCTGGTGATAGGCATATTTCAGCAACTTTTAACCATGGTTATACATTAGAATAATTATCTGGGGGAGCTTCTATCAAAATATTCTCTTTTTTGTGGGTCATGGGGCTTGAACTCTGGGCATGGGCATTGTCCCTGAGCTCTTCAGCTCAAGGTGAATGTTCTACCACTTGAGCCACAGCACCACTTCTGATTTTCTGGTGGCTAAATTGCTGATAAGAGTCTCATGGTTGTTCCTGCCTGGCCTGGCTTTGAAACGCAATCTTCAGATCTCAGCCTCCTGAGTAGCTAGGATTACAGGCGTGAGCCACCAGCACTCAGCAAAATATTCATGTTTGAGTCCTGTATCAGACCTTCTGAATCAGAACCAATTAAGGTCTTGCATATGAAAATGACAAGAAGAAAAGAAACATGAGCTTGGCAACAACATGCAGATTAGAATGGCAAAAAGGGGCATGAAGTAGAAGAAGATCAGAAAGGAAACTTTTTATGGTAAAGCAGTTGTAAGGGAATGAAAAACTGAATAAATGCATACGCATGAATGTACTCCTTGTTGCACATCTACAAACAGCTCTTGGCAAAATGTGGTATATATATACACAATGGAATTCTATGCCTCCATCAGAAAGAATGACATTGCCCCATTTGTTAGGAAATGGAAAAACTTGGAAAAAACTATATTAAGTGAAGTAAGCCAGGCCCAAAGAAACATAGGTCCCATGGTTTCCCCTCATTTGCAATAACTAGTATATGTCTGAGACAAGAAGAAACAGTCTGATAAGTTGATGTTAAGCGAAATGAACCCCAAGATAAGGACTCAAATGGTTTTTCTTTCTTGCTATTGTTTCTAACATATTTATAAGATGATTTTTTTTGTTGCTTTGTATGTCCCTCCCCCACGATATAAGCCCTGTTTTCACTGTATTTGATGTTGGTATAATTTGTGGAGGGGAAGAGAAAAAACAAATTGTTTAAATAGGGATACAGGTGGACCCATTGCAACAATGAGATGTATAAGACATTATGTCGAAAAACGAACTTTACAACTTTGGCGCGGTGGAAGGGAGGATGGGGGGGTGAGATGGGAAGGGATGGAAAAGGGAAACAAAGGAGGAGGCAACAATGCTTGATAAGAAATGTACTCATTACCTTGCTCATGTAATTGTAACCCTTCTGTACGGTATTTTCACAATAAAAAAAAAAAACAGCTCTTGGCTGTTTATAAAAATAGAGCTGTTACAAGAATAAACTGCAGGCTAGTATAAACAAATGCAAGATTTGTCTAAGGGTCTCACATTGAACTATAAGTCTTCTAGGATTAGATGCATAAGCAGATGATAACTTCTTTAGGGTAAAAGTCAAGCCAGATATGGCTTAAGAAATTTCTTCCTAGACTCTTCAGTCTTCATTCGTTTTTTCCATCTATCCATCCATCTACCCATCTACCCATCCATTAAGAAAAACTAATTTATTAGATGCTGGTGGTTCATGCCTATATTCCTAGCTACTTGCAAGGTTGAGATCTACAGATAATGATTTGAGGACAATCAGTGTAGAAAAGTTCATAAAACCACCTTCTTAACCAATAGCTGGGTTTGATGCTGTTTACCAATCATCATAGCTGTGTGGAAGGTTGAAATCAAGAGGATCACAGTTCCAGGTTAACTTGGTCAGAAAAGTCTGCAAGATTTTGTTTTGATGGAAGAAGTTGGGTGTGATGGCATATGCCTGATATCATAGCAATAGTATGCAGTGAAAAATAGGAAGATCATCAGGAAGCAAGACTCTAAAAAATAACTAGTGTAAAAAAGGAGCTGGGGGCTTAGCTCAAGTGGTAGGACACCTACAAGAGTGAGGCCTTGAGTTCAAACCCTAGTATCACAAAAAACAAAGGAATGAAGTTAGATTGAATTAGGGAGGGAAGAGAGATGACAAAAGAAGAAAAGAAGAGAGGAGAGGAAGGGAGAAAAGGGAAAGGGAAGGCAGGGAGAGGGGAGGGGAAGGGAGAGGAGCAAAGGAAAGTAAAACTAATACACTAGGTCCTGTGCTAGATGTTGGAGACACACAGGGAAAATATATCCTTGTAATGATCCTGGCCCTTGCAGTGCTCACAGATCATGAAAAATAGAGACATTAATTGTTCAATATAAAGAGCATAGAGTATAAACAAGAGACTTGGGAAGTGATGATAAACTCCCTAGCGGAAGTCATTTTGTTGTTACTATAAAGGTGATGTACAGACAGGTTACTGTTTCAAAGTCAGTTAATGAGTACATTTCTTTTAGGACAATGTCACCCCTTCATTCTCTACAGTTCAAGCAACAGTCTATATGATGAATAGAAATTAGCTAAATTAGGGCTATATGAATGTGTGTCCTCTTACATCTTATGGCTGCAGTCATTCAGGGTCTCATAAGCTATCCTACAAACCCAGGACCCTATCCTAAGAACAATGAGGGCCACTAGAGCATTTTAGGCAAAGAAATGTAGTGTTTTAAGAAGATGAGAAGGGGTCAAAATTGGAAGTAGGAGGAAAAGGTTTTCAAGATGTTTAGGAATAAGAAGCAAGTAAAGTAGTAACGGGAATGTAGGCAAAACAGAAAGAACTGATTCAAAAAACATGAAAACAAACAACCAACAAATATATTTAAAAATCCAATTACATGAGAAATCAAAGGGATATAAATTAAAATGAAATGGCATTTAGGTTATAAATAATGTAATATAGGAACTTTCTATGCCTACTTAAATGATGCCTACATGTTTTATTAGGACTGAAATCAACAGACATTTTGAAGGCAATTTAACATTAAGTATCAAAATAGTTTAAAATTAAATATTCTTTGACATCACAGTTCTACTTCATAAAATTCTTCCTAGGGAAATAACAGATGTATGCAAATATAACCACAAGGGCACTCCACATCCCATATGTAACCTAATTGTCTAGCAATAAGACCAAGTTAAGTTTGTATTATACATCAAAAGATGAAGCATCATATGACCATTGGAAATTAGATTTTACAAGGATATGGGGAAATTTGTGCGCTAAATTATGTTTCAAATGTAAGATAGAGTAGAGAATAATCTTACTAGCCTTATGTTTGTGAAATATGTATGTATGTATGTATATATGTATACACACATATATACTTAGGAATACATACACATACATACATTTATATGTATATATAATTGTGTATGTATATATTAGAATATAGAGAGATTCTGTGCTCCCAAAGGCTAATGTGGCTGGAAGATTAAGAATGAATTAAAAGTGACATTGTAAGGCATATAAACACAGTCTCCCTGCATCTGTTTGTATTTGTGTTTATGAAAAACACAGAATTAGTATCTTGTTACAGTCTTTCCTAGGCATGATATGATGAATGTCATTTGTAATGGGAATGAGATATTTTAG